CAGGGATATACACTGATAAACATAGATATGTACACTGCTTGTCGTAGGGATATACGGTTGTCACAGGAATATACAATGATTGTTGTAGGGATATATGGTTGTCACAGGGATATACACTGATAAACATAGATATGTACACTGCTTGTCGTAGGGATATATGGTTGTCACAGAGATATACACTGATTGTTGTAGGGATATACGGTTGTCACAGGGATATACACTGAATGTTGTAGGGATATACAGTTGTCACAGGGATATACACTGATTGTTGTAGGGATATACGGTTGTCACAGGGATATACACTGATTGTTGTAGGGATATACGGTTGTCACAGGGATATACACTGATTGTTGTTGGGATATACGGTTGTCACAGGGATATACACTGATTGTTGTTGGGATATATGGTTGTCACAGAGATATACACTGATTGTTGTAGGGATATACGGTTGTCACAGGGATATACACTGAATGTTGTAGGGATATATGGTTGTCACAGGGATATACACTGATTGTTGTAGGGATATACGGTTGTCACAGGGATATACACTGATTGTTGTAGGGATATACGGTTGTCACAGGGAAATACACTGATTGTTGTAGGGATATACGGTTGTCACAGGGATATACACCGATTGTTGTTGGGATATATGGTTGTCACAGGGATATACACTGATTGTTGTAGGGATATACGGTTGTCACAGGGATATACACTGATTGTTGTTGGGATATACGGTTGTCACAGGGATAAACACTGATTGTTGTAGGGATATACGGTTGTCACAGGGATATACACTGATTGTTGTAGGGATATACGGTTGTCACAGGGATATACACTGATTGTTGTAGGGATATACGGTTGTCACAGGGATATACACTGATTGTTGTAGGGATATACGGTTGTCACAGGGATATACACTGATTGTTGTTGGGATATACGGTTGTCACAGGGATAAACACTGATTGTTGTAGGGATATACGGTTGTCACAGGGATATACACTGATTGTTGTAGGGATATACGGTTGTCACAGGGATATACACTGATTGTTGTAGGGATATACGGTTGTCACAGGGATATACACTGAATGTTGTAGGGATATACGGTTGTCACAGGGATATACACTGATTGTTGTAGGGATATACGGTTGTCACAGGGATATACACTGATTGTTGTTGGGATATACGGTTGTCACAGGGATATACACTGATTGTTGTTGGGATATATGGTTGTCACAAGGATATACACTGATTGTTGTAGGGATATACGGTTGTCACAGGGATATACACTGATTGTTGTTGGGATATACGGTTGTCACAGGGATATACACTGATTGTTGTAGGGATATATGGTTGTCACAGGGATATACACTGATTGTTGTTGGGATATATGGTTGTCACAAGGATATACACTGATTGTTGTAGGGATATACGGTTGTCACAGGGATATACACTGATTGTTGTTGGGATATATGGTTGTCACAAGGATATACACTGATTGTTGTAGGGATATACGGTTGTCACAGGGATATACACTGATTGTTGTAGGGATATACGGTTGTCACAGGGATATACACTGATTGTTGTTGGGATATATGGTTGTCACAAGGATATACAGTGATTGTTGTAGGGATATACGGTTGTCACAGGGATATACACTGATTGTTGTAGGGATATACGGTTGTCACAGGGATATACAATGATTGTTGTAGGGATATACGGTTGTCACAGGGATAAACACTGATTGTTGTAGGGATATACACTGATCAAACTGCAGCTGGCTTCTTGAACAAAGAACTTTAGATATAACTTTTTATACTGTATAAGAGGGTCTATATTACTAGCTGAAGACATAATAAAAATAAACATTTTTATGTTAAATATATTTCTTTTCCAGCTGCTTTTCAGTAGTGGGGGTGGGTTTTTATGTGAAACGAAAAATACAAATGTGTGGCCTAACCTTACTTTAAATGACTTTCACTTATTCTTTCAAAGTGTCAAACATCTTCAATTTTCTTATCTTACTTGTGGAAAATGATACAGAACAACCGCCATTCCGATATGAAGTCTATCGACTGTATTATTAATGATTTCTGTGCCTGTTACACGGGGTAACCACGCATACCTGTTATCACTGTTCTCTGATTTCAGTGAGATAACCAAGGGAGATAGCTAGCTTGCTCCCAGGTCAGTGACATTTGGTGCGAAACTTGGGGTGGTGTGTTTAGCTTCCTGTACTCAGAAAAGGAGCTGGCTAAGCTAGTCATTTTTTATGTTTTCATTGCTGCTCTAAGGCCAAACTGTGCACACACGTACAGGTAATAGCTGTTGAATGCTTAGTTATTTAAAAAAAAATATAACGTTACTATAGAAGTCTATGGGAAAACATTTGGTTGTGTGTAACCTGTAGTCCAAAGCTGAGCAAAGCAAACCTTGTTTCAGTCAGGTAGGATTATCTGCTAATAACATGAATAAGGTGAGGAGAGGCATGATTGGGCTTCAGGTTATCTCCCAAGATAAAAGAAAAATAGTTTAACAAAAGCGTAACTATTACGTAGGCCGACGACCCCCTCTGGTCCCCAAAACTGGCAGATCTACAGTCATATAGAGTAACGTCTTTTATGTAGTATATTTTAGCACAGGCTTGCATGATCAGTTCCTGGATCAGTATCTCTGTTCTAATTAATTATTTGTTCAATTTTGTTTCTGAAAGTGAGTATCTCTGTGATAAATATTGTAGATGTTGAAATTGTCCCACGCCATATTTTTACTTATATTTTTCTTCTGCCATTAACCATATTCATGCAATTCTCAAACAAATCAAAAGATGAGAGTTTAGTTAGAATTGACACAGGTAAACTTATCATCGTTCCAACCAATCTCCCACATATTATAGGTGATTCTGGCATGTAGAAATTTCATTTTACCTTTAGGCTATCTCTAAATATTTGAGTACAAATTATGCAGTCTTCCTTGTTCAAATGGACAGATGGAGGACCTGGAGTTTTGCGACAAATACATCTAACTAGGAAGTCCCAAATGGCCGCTGACTGACATCCAACAGTGAAGCCCCTGTACATCATCTCCCATGTAGATATCACTGAGGAAGCTGGGTAACTTCCCTCTATTGTACCGTGCATGGCCTCAGGTGCAACATGGCCTCATTGTCCTGTGTTTGTCATGTTTGTCGTGAGTTTGCTAGACTATGAAGCTATAAATGTCATGCTGTACACTGTCACTTGTGACACTCATTTCACACCCAAACTAGACCCAGCTTTCAAGTTCCGTGATTGGGTTTTTCCAGTGTGTGTGTGTTTGTGTGTGTTTTGTGTGTGTGTGTGTGTGTGTTTGTTGTTGTTGTGTGTGTGTGTGTGTGTGTGTGTGTGTGTGTGTGTGTGTGTGTGTGTGTGTGTGTGTGTGTGTGTGTGTGTGTGTGTGTGTGTGTGTGTGTGTGTGTGTGTGTGTGTGTGTGTGTGTGTGTGTGTGTTAGGTTTTTCACTGGTTATAAGAAGGGGTGGGGTTTTGTGTTATGAGGGGGACAATTATTATGAGGGGAACAAGCTTTATACTGGTTATGCAAGGGTGGGGTTTATAACACTGGTTATAGTGAGGGGGTGGTGGGGTTTACCACTGGTCATAAGTAAGGGGTGGGGTTTACTACTGGTTAAAATGAGCAGGTGAGGTTTACCACTGGCTATAATGGGGTGGGTGGGGTTTACTACTGGTTATAATGAGGGGGTGGGGTTTACCACTGGTTATAATGAGCAGGTGGGGTTTACCACTGGTTATAATGAGCAGGTGAGGTTTACCACTGGTTTTAATGAGCAGGTGAGGTTCACCACTGGTCATAATGAGCAGGTGAGGTTTACCGCTGGTTATATTGAGCAGGTGAGGTTTATCAAGGGTTATAGTGAGGGGGTGGGGTTTACCACTGGTTATAATGAGCAGGTGAGGTTTACCACTGGTTATAGTGAGGGGGTGGGGTTTACCACTGGTCATAATGAGCAGGTGGGGTTTACCACTGGTTATAGTGAGAGGCTGTGTTTCTTGTGAAACACTAAACATCAAACGTATAAATGCAGTGATTAATAGGTAACACATGCATTATAAGGACATCTTGCAAGCGAAACACAAAACACAAAACACATGGTCACTCATTTTGACCCCAGAATAACAGTGGATACATAAAAGGAGCTGCCACCATTGGATGAATTCAATTGTTTGTTTCTTGCTCAACGCTGCACTCATACGACTCATGCCATCGAGGTACAATGACACAGACTAAACCAAGTAAACGAGTCTGACTACCCAATCCATTAAGTTGTCTTTGCCGGGTACCAATTTTAACCTGGAATTCCAATCGTGGAAACTTGCAGAAAGCATCATGAACACAAACACTACTGCAACAAGCGAGTGAGTGACATGTGTTTTACAACAGTATTCCAGTAATATCCCAGAATGCCACTGAATGAGGGACTTCCTCCCACAGTGACTGCGTGTTGTGGAGATTTACTTTGGTGTTTGTTTGTTTGTTGTTTAACGTTGCACTCAGAAATATTCCAGCTACATGACGGCGGTCTCTAAATAATCGAGTCTGGACCAGACAATCCAGTGACTGACATCATGAGCATTGATCTTGTCGCCTCTTACGACGGCATTGTCGCCTTATATGGCAAACAAGGGTTGCTGAAGACCTATGGTTTAAGTCAGTGAGCCTGACCCCACTGGTGATAACAGAGAGTAGGTACAAATTCAATATCCCCTCAGCAAATCTTCAGTCATAGCACCTTGAGTACAAACCAAACACAATCAGTGAGAATTCATGGAATTGGAACCCATGATCAGCAGATCCAGTCATGACCAAGGGACATAACCTGCTTCACCTCAGTGCACCAACCATGCCTGGGATTTTACTGAACTTTATAAGTAGTAACTATATTTTACCAATTTCACTGCTACCATCTCTGCAACAAATCATTTGACAAGCAAATTCAAGTACTTACTTAGTAACGTAGATGTCCCCTGTCGGTGCGGAGGACGTGAACTCCTGCAGTGATGGCCGTGTCTGTTTGGCGTCACCTTCACGTGACCTCCGTTTCTTCAGTATCTTCGGCAGTGTCGCTGCCTGGGCATGCTGTTTGTTCTTCCGGTTGGGTAAATTCCCGAACGGACTGATGTGACGAGGCCTCTTCTTCAACAACAGCACAACCTCCTTTGGTTTCTCCTTCAGCGTCTCAACTAGCTTCTTCAGCTGCCATCCAAGCTGCAACACGTGAGTGAGAGGAACACGTTTCACAACAATAGTAACAATAACAGCGTTATCACGATCCCCCGCCATGGGTCACATTAGAATTTTGTTTGTTCATATAGTATTAGAATAATGATTACACACAAAAAGCCCCTTCTCTGAAAAAATAACTTAGTCTTGAGTAGTATCTCATAGATAAGATAACTTCAGTAGTTTCTTAGACAACTTGTAAGCATTGCACACACGGTGCACCAAGAAAAATAACATGGATCAAGTGCCGTTACTCCGTAAAACAATAATTGAGGGGACCAATTTTCAAACTCAATTTTGACAAGTATCTCTCAGATAAGCATGCAAACTTTCATTGATGTAACCTCAGAAGTTTCTGAGCTAACCTGTCCCCCTTTCACACAGTATGCTTTAAGTTGAAAAGCACGGAGCAAGGTCCATAACACATGAATTATGACACCAATTTTTGAAACTCATTTGAGATCATGAGCAGTAAAATCAGTGTGTAAAATTTCATTTCTCTGACTTAAATAGTTTTTGAGAGAATATGTCCCATCTGAGAAGCTGACGGACAGATGGAAGGATACACGGAATGACGGACAGACGGCAGGTCGGACAGATGGATAATAATGTTTATATTATATGTGGCAGGGGATAATGTTTATATTTACCATGCGTCAAATCCACACCCTATAGCATGCTCAAAGTGCTACATTATTACCCTAATAATCAGTGTGCACTCAAATTTCATTCTCAGCTCCCTTGGGAGTAAAGAGCCCATGTTGCCTTGTAAGGCACTAGAAGTTTAACAGTCACCATCCTACTCATCATACAATCTAATCCTACCGGGTACCCATTCCCTGATGGGTGAACAGAGGCATATTTTGAACAAGGACTCTTGCCCAAAGAGACACCTGTGTTTCAGTGTGGGTCAGCCCAGAAGCCCAGGAAACACGGTCACTCATCCATCCACCCGCGCTCAACTGTCCGATATGTGGCCTGTGCGCTGTACACGGGACTATGTTCCACCACTGCTTTGTACAGTCTTTCAGTAATATCACAGCCAGTCAGGTAATGAGGGCGGAAGGCGGAAGTCCTGAGTGAGTGAGTGAGTGAGTGAGTGAGTGAGTGGCGAAAACTTAGTCTACCATTCTGGATTAACGGTTTACTTTGCAAAAATCTTGAATTTATACACCAAGGTCAACTTGCACAAAGCAATCTTAGCGCTAACTCCCATTGCTTAACATAGGCTTACAATAGTCTTAGCGCTAAGATCACATTGTATAAGTGGGCCCTGGTCCCCCACTGATTGGGATGAGTGTTGATTCACATCTGATACATCTTCCCGAGGCAAGAGAGTTAACTGACTATAAAAGTTTGGTTTCCACCCTTGCCGAACTAGGCTGGTATTATTGAGTTACATTTTGGCTGGACTAACGAGTCTATGCATAGTCCAATCAAAATCGAGCACCGAAATCAAAATCCGGTTCGTAAACTGTCGTGCAGGATTTGCAAAGCATGTGCACCGCCAAGTCGTTGTCAACAGATATTTTCCAAATCTTTTCATGTTTTTAATCAAGGTGCTTACGTGATTTGATGCATTTCGCGATGTAAGACCCGTTTTATCACAATCTTGACCTTGATTATTGATCAGATCGTCCTGACTGGGCGCCACCATTTTGTGTGAGGCAAACGCAAGTGATGGAATCTGATTGGTCCATAGGAGAGGCTTAAAAGGGACATAACTGGTAATAGCCACTGGTGGCGCTACGATCGAGCCCAGTAATTCCAGCCTAGTTCGGCAAGGGTGGAAACTGGACTTTTAAAGTCAGTTAACTCTCTTGCCTCGGGAAGATGCATCCGATACTGAGGTTCACTTATCTGTAGTGAGTGAGTGAGTGAGTGAGTGAGTGAGTGAGTGAGTGAGAGGTGGATTTAACACAGTGTGTCATCTCGCAGGTCACAGAGTGAGTGAGGTGCGTTTAACATCGTTTTTCACAGTATTCCGGTTAGCCTATATCACGGCGTGTCAGCTTAATGAGGGAGGAAAGCCCAACTGATGCAGGTCTCAGACATTTAACACCATGGGGAAACCCACGAGCACGGGTATGGTGCTGACAAACCTAGAAACATACTCAGGGCGAACCGTGCAGGTCGTAGCAGTTTAAAAGTATTGCGCCATGAAAATTTTGCAAATGGCTAACAATAGCCTTAACTGCATCTGGAGTGAGTGAGTGAGTGAGTATGGTTTTACGCCGCTTTTAGCAATATTCCAGCAATATCACAGCAGGGGACACCAGAAATGGGCTTCACACATTGTACCCATGTCGGGAATCGAACCCGGGTCTTTGGCGTGACGAGCGAACGCTTTAACCACTAGGCTACCAGACCGCCCCAACTGCATCTGGAAAGACCCCCTGTTGATGAGATTACATCCATACTACTTGTGCACATGTTATCATTAACAGTAGGAAGCTATGTGAGGAAAAGGTAAGTCTTTGTGCAGAAAGACTAAGTAGACAAAGCAGACTAAAATTATTTATTATATAATTGGCACAAAATTGGGAGCTGGCTCGGTTGTTGCTTAAGAATGATTAATGTTTTATGAGATTTGTTGCAGGGGCAAGCTGGCCTGGACAACCGTAGGTTGCAGGGGCCAGCTGATTGTAGGGGCAAGCCGGCCTGACAAAGAGCTGTGTGTGCAGGGGCAGCAGCTGATTGTAGGGGCAAGCCGGCCTGACAAAGAGCTGTGTGTGCAGGGGCAGCAGCTGATTGTAGGGGCAAGCCGGCCTGACAAAGAGCTGTGTGTGCAGGGGCAGCAGCTGATTGTAGGGGCAAGCCGGCCTGACAAAGAGCTGTGTGTGCAGGGGCAGCAGCTGATTGTAGGGGCAAGCCGGCCTGACAAAGAGCTGTGTGTGCAGGGGCAGCAGCTGATTGTAGGGGCAAGCCGGCCTGACAAAGAGCTGTGTGTGCAGGGGCAGCAGCTGATTGTAGGGGCAAGCCGGCCTGACAAAGAGCTGTGTGTGCAGGGGCAGCAGCTGATTGTAGGGGCAAGCCGGCCTGACAAAGAGCTGTGTGTGCAGGGGCAGCAGCTGATTGTAGGGGCAAGCCGGCCTGACAAAGAGCTGTGTGTGTGCAGGGGCAGCAACTGATTGTAGGGGCAAGCCGGCCTGACAAAGAGCTGTGTGTGCAGGGGCAGCAGCTGATTGTAGGGGCAAGCCGGCCTGACAAAGAGCTGTGTGTGTGCAGGGGCAGCAGCTGATTGTAGGGGCAAGCCGGCCTGACAAAGAGCTGTGTGTGTGCAGGGGCAGCAGCTGATTGTAGGGGCAAGCCGGCCTGACAAAGAGCTGTGTGTGTGCAGGGGCAGCAGCTGATTGTAGGGGCAAGCCGGCCTGACAAAGAGCTGTGTGTGTGCAGGGGCAGCAGCTGATTGTAGGGGCAAGCCGGCCTGACAAAGAGCTGTGTGTGTGCAGGGTCAGCAGCTGATTGTAGGGGCAAGCCGGCCTGACAAAGAGCTGTGTGAGCAGGGGCAGCAGCTGATTGTAGGGGCAAGCCGGCCTGACAAAGAGCTGTGTGTGTGCAGGGGCAGCAGCTGATTGTAGGGGCAAGCCGGCCTGACAAAGAGCTGTGTGAGCAGGGGCAGCAGCTGATTGTAGGGGCAAGCCGGCCTGACAAAGAGCTGTGTGAGCAGGGGCAGCAGCTGATTGTAGGGGCAAGCCGGCCTGACAAAGAGCTGTGTGTGTGCAGGGGCAGCAGCTGATTGTAGGGGCAAGCCGGCCTGACAAAGAGCTGTGTGTGTGCAGGGGCAGCAGCTGATTGTAGGGGCAAGCCGGCCTGACAAAGAGCTGTGTGTGCAGGGGCAGCAGCTGATTGTAGGGGCAAGCCAGCCGGACAAAGAGCTGTGTGAGCAGGGGCAGCAGCTGATTGTAGGGGCAAGCCGGCCTGACAAAGAGCTGTGTGTGTGCAGGGGCAGCAGCTGATTGTAGGGGCAAGCCGGCCTGACAAAGAGCTGTGTGTGCAGGGGCAGCAGCTGATTGTAGGGGCAAGCCGGCCTGACAAAGAGCTGTGTGAGCAGGGGCAGCAGCTGATTGTAGGGGCAAGCCGGCCTGACAAAGAGCTGTGTGTGTGCAGGGGCAGCAGCTGATTGTAGGGGCAAGCCGGCCTGACAAAGAGCTGTGTGTGCGAAGAAGGGATTTGAAAATATGTTGGAATTTGAATATGAATTGGGGGATTATGAAATAAAATGCCCAATGTTTTTAATGAAATAGTAGGAATTAAGTTATGGATGGAAGCAACAACCAGCACAACTCCAAGGAGGTAGAATGGGGTGTTTGGAGGGCTGAGAAGAATGAGACAACATGGCGGATGAAGAAGTGAATAACCATTGGAGGTGCATGCGCAGGATGTCGGAAATTTCGAATGTACATGATGCACTATGAATAGATATGAAATTTGGTACCTGAAAATTAAATAATTGATATGTATATAACCTAGATTCTAAGAATAAATAATGATAATATGCATATGTGAAATATGTAAGTATGTTTAGGACAAACCTACAATTGTGAGGGTACATCATGAAGCTGTGATGGACAACGGAAGTAAACAAGTTTAAAAATGAAAGTATGTAGGTATACACGTGGGTATATATAAAATTGGTAAAGGGAAGTACTTATGCATAGATGAATTAATTAACATGATAAATAATGAGGAAGTGGGTAAAAGGGAATTAGAGAAATATTTAGTGGAAGAATATAGCGTAATAAATTGATGAAAGGAATAGCTAATTATAGGAATAGGAGAGAAGGTAGTGAATGGATGTATGGAAGGGGATGTTATTTCTGCACGAACAAAAATAATAAATTTAGATAATGTCAGTCAGTTTTTTAAACCATAGATGCATGTGTTGTAGTCGTGGACAAGGAAGGTAGGAGCAGTGTGTTTATCCAACAGTAGCTTAATAAGGCTCGCTCCTCAGCAACTTGACAATCTGTGGCAGGTCACTGAGCTTTTTTCCTGATTATTTTTTTACACTGTGTCACAATCTTTAAGGAAACAGGATGTGGGGGATTATTTATTTAATCATGTTATGGCTGGTTTGACGATGTGAATATGCCTCCTTGTGTTTTTTGTTTGTTGTTGGTCTACAAAATAACTGTGTTGTTATAACTATTCTGAAACTATTTTTGTCATTCACAGTTTTCGCATTACTTTCCTGCCAGCAAAACGTTCCAGGTTTACAGTACTACTGTAGGGTAGCTGGAGTAGGGGAGGTAACCGCGTAGATCTTAATCATGTTTATAGCTGTATACTTTCTGGTAGAGTGAATGAGTGAGTTAGGTTTAACGCCGCTTTTAACAGTATTCCAGTTATATTGTGACGTGTCAGCTTAATGTGGGAGGAAAGCCCGAAGTGATGCAGTTCTCAGACGTTTACCACTTCGGTGAAACCCACGAGCATGGGTATGGTGCTGACAAACCTAGAAACATAATTGGAGCGAACCAGGATTCGAACCCCCCATCATATGTTTCTGGTGTGCCCAAGGGACGCAACTCTGCACAGTGAATCGCGTCGCCTTAGATGACTGGGCCACCTGTGCCCCCACTTTCTGGTAGAGTTATGATAATAGACACAACAAAGCCCTTTCCATAATCATAAGAAATCTCTGCTAAAGGAGTCCTCTGTATGATTCTGACTCTATCATGAGCACGTGTTTATAAATCACTATCAAATAGTGATGATACCAGGTATTTGCGGAAAGGTGAGCACATCCTGACCAACCGGTGACATCCATCACTAACACATGTAAAGGCAAGGCAAGTGTTCACCTAAACAACCATGGAAATATATAAGTCAAACTTGGGAATTGCATCAGACATCATTTCTGACATTGATATGTTAAATTTGGTATTGTCCTACCCATGTCTACCATAAAATATTTTGAAGCTTAACTCAGGCCTAGAATGTTGTAATCTTGAACAACTTTTTATCAGGAGAAACATGATGCTCTTTGAAATATTCATAGAAAGAGCATGCTCCATTGTAGACAAATGTCGACACCACAATGCTGGAGCTGCTGGATTATTGCATGAAATTAAACTTTGGAAAACTGGTATTTTGGGTTTTTACATAAAAATTTGGATTTTTTATCAATATCAAGTATATGTAGATATACACTATTGTACTAAATCAAGAAACACAGATTTTACTTCCAACTCATCAAAAACTTAACATCATCCTTGGAGTGAGTGAGTAACTGAGTATGGTTTTACGCTCCTTTTAGCAATATTGCAACAATATCAAGGCGGGGGACACCAGAAATGGGCTTCCATTGTACCCATGTCGGGAAACGAACCTGGGTCTTCGGTGTGACGAGCGTTGTGTGAAATACACAAATATGGAAATGAGTTGATACACCCACAAATTTAAAATGTTGCTGTGTAAAAAGTAAGTGAGTGAGTTGGGTTTAAGGACTCTCACACCTTAACGGTAATCAATTTATTGCAGGGCATTTCAGCTTGATGTGGGAGGAAAGCCTGAAGTGATGCAGAATCAGACCTCTACCACTTTGGTGGAACCCAAAAGCATGGGTATGGTGCTGGCAAACCTAGAAACATAAGTGGGGGGCAACCTGGATTCGAACCCACGTTCAAAGGGTTTGTTGTGCCTATAGGACGCAACTCTGCACAGTGAATTGCATTGCCTTAGACGAATGGGCCACCAGTTTCCCCTGCTATTTAAAGAACCAGCATAGGTGGTTTGGGACCAGTTCTACCCGGATTTCCCCATTGGGCCATCGGCTACTCACCACGGTTTGGTAGTTGACCTGGATGACCTCATCTCCCTTCTCAATCTTCCTGCACAGGTCAGCGGGGCTCTGCAAAACACAAATACTTACATCACGACATTTCTACTTAAGAAATAAATCACTTGCGGTCGTTGTTTATCGTACAATAAAACACTGCAAGGAGAATAAACCATTAGGGGCGAGAGATATCAACATTACGTACAGACTCTTTGAGAATGTTAATAAGAAGTACCCGTTTTTTAAATATTTACCCATAATTAAATAATGATGACTCCCTGAATAGAATCTGACCGCGGCAATGTCGGACAAGTCCATTTTATGCACAGGTGGGTATTTCCCGCATATTCTCACAATACTCATGTCCATTATCTGTACCTTTTCCCCCTAATACTGTTTGTCATGTCTCCCCTGCTTTTGGATGCAATCATTCGGCCAACACATTTATTTGCGTTGCCCAGCTACATCTATAGCGAAAACCTCATAAGACAACCCCCTCTCGAAATAACATTGTCCAATATACGTCATCAATTTGTGCATGTTCGAATCTCCAGAAATGACGTCATGATAGAACAATGTTTTATCATGAAATAAACCACACTTCGTTCTTCACTGCGACGTATCACATAACTATCTTATATATTAGTATACTGTATTAGCCATATTACACACTCTTCTCCTATAAGCACCCCCTGACCACTAGCAAGGCCAATCTGAAGGTAATCTTTATAAGCGCTCAGTGCTAACCCCTACAGTGTAAGAATATTCTCTATTTTCTCCAGTTTGCAAGAATGTTCTTTTATGAATAACAAACGGTAATTCTAAAGGAAAGGTTACTAGTCCTTCCTGAATTTTACTAATCTCGGACTAGCAGACTTATGTTACTTTCAAACCCTGATTGGCGAATTTCAATTGTTAATGGCCTGATGATAACATACTGAGGAGAAACTAGAACATACATGACACTGATAACACAACATGGATAATTATCAAGAATTTCAGGAAGTCAGCTAAGTACTTTATGCTTTATTGTCTTCAATAATTTCTCAAAACATGTCCCAGTTTTCAAGTGTTCTGATCATCATGTCTTGAAAAACGAACTTTCCAGGGCTACATAAACATGATATATGAGGTTCAATTCAATCCATGCTTACCAATTCCTTAATTCCACTAATGGCATGAATCCCATAATATGATGATGAAATATGCAGACCCTGCAGGAATAAAAACATATATAATTAATATCAACAATAACATCGCATACATCTTAAAAGTGACATCATAACTTATGATTCATAAGAATGGACAATTGTAACAGTAATGTGTATCATCGCATGAGTTTCAAAAAGTAATATTTACAAATTCATTTTGTTAGCCCTGCCTAGTAGTGAGTGAGTGAGTTGGGTTTAACGCCGCTTTTAAAAGTATTCCAGTTCTATCACGGCGTGTCAGCTTAATGTGGGAGGAAAGCCCGAAGTGATGCAGTTCTCAGATGTTTACCACTTCGGTGAAACCCACGAGCATGGGTATGGTGCTGACAAGCCTAGAAACATAATAGGGGTGAACTGGTATTCGAACCCACAATCATAGGTTTCTGGTGTGCCCAAGGGACGCAACTCTGCACAGCGAATCGCGGCGCCTTAGACGACCGGGACACCCGTGACTCCCCTGCCTAGTAAGGCTAGTGATACCTTACAAACAAACGTGCTGAACCTGCTTGAATATTAGACTTAGAAGATTCCTGAGTAAACACAAATGTGATTTAACACACAAACTGAGTATTGAGATACATGAGGTAGGCGTATCGCGACATCAATAATAAATATATGTTTTCTATCTGATTACTAATCTGAAGAATTGATCTACAGTGCAACATTTCAAGCTTTGAGTCCATGACACAGTGAAAACTTTTCAACTCAAACACTTTCACTTTATTAAGCCGACATAACACTTTTAAGTCGATATTATGGTCTTGGCAGAATCTTTATCGATTCGATTTCGATTTAACACAGGCACTATGATCTGACACAGGCACAACGATCCAGCAGTAACCATGGCAACACAAGTGAGTGAGTGAGTGAGTATGGTTTTACGCCGCTTTTAGCAATATTCCAGCAATATCACGGCGGGGTGGCAACACAAGGTCTCCCCTGTGAAATGGTGCTGCTGGTCAACCAATACTCACCAGTTCCTCAGGCTGTTTCTTCCTGATGGTGGCGACCTCTAGTGACGCGGGCTGCACCACCAATGGCTCCTTGGAGTTCATCACCAGATCATCACAGATCTCGAACAACGTCCGGCACTGTCACATGGAAATAATATAATGCACTCACTGATTTGATGTCTGTTTGTTTGTTTATTGTTTAATGCCCCGCTCAGAAATATTCTAGCTATGTCAGGAGTCTGAAAATAATAGAGTCTGGACCAGACAATCCAGTGATTGACATCATGAGCATCGATCAAAGCAATTGGGATACAATGACATGCATCAACTTAGTCAGAGAGCCTGACCACCCTTTCCTGTTAGTCACCTCTTACGACAAGCTTAGTCGCCTTTTACGACAAGCATGGGTTGCTGAAGACCTATTCTACCTCAGATCTTCATGGGTCCATCTAACGTCAGCCATGATGTACTCACAGATCACAAGTCGGCCATGATGGACTCACAGATCACAAGTCAGCCATGATGGACTCACAGATCACAAGTCGGCCATGATGGACTCACAGATCACAAGTCGGCCATGATGGACTCACAGATCACAAGTCAGCCATGATGTACTCACGGATCACAAGTTGGCCATGATGGACTCACAGATCACAAGTCGGCCATGATGGATTCACAGATCACAAGTCGGCCTTGATGATGTACACACAGATCACAAGTCGGCCATGATGTACACACAGATCCGGGTCGGCCATGATGGACTCACGGATCACAAGTCGGCCATGATGTACACACAGATCACAAGTCGGCCATGATGGACTCACAGATCACAAGTCAGCCATGATGGACTCACAGATCACAAGTCAGCCATGATAGACTCACAGATCACAAGTCAGTCATGATGGACTCACAGATCACAAGTTGGCCATGATGGACTCACAGATCAGAAGTCAGCCATGATGTACTCACAGATCACAAGTCGGCCATGATGGACTCACAGATCACAAGTCCGCCATGATGGACTCACAGATCACAAGTTGGCCATGATGGACTCACAGATCACAAGTCAGCCATGATGTACTCACAGATCACAAGTCGGCCATGATGTATTCACAGATCACAAGTCGGCCATGATGTACACACAGATGACAAGTCAGCCATGATGGACTCACAGATCAAAAGTCGGCCATGATGTACACACAGATCACAAGTGAGCCATGATGTACTCACAGATCACAAGTCAACCATGATGTACTTACAGATCACAAGTCAGCCATGATGGACTCACAGATGACAAGTCAGTCATGATGGACTCACAGATCACAAGTTGGCCATGATGGACTCACTGATCACAAGTCAGCCATGATGGACTCACAGATCACAAGTCGGTCATGATGGACTCACTGATCACAAGTCGGCTATGATGGACTCACAGATCACAAGTCAGCCATGATGGACTCACAGATCACAAGTTGGCCATGATGGACTCACTGATCACAAGTCAGCCATGATGTACACACAGATCACAAGTCGGCCATAATGTACACACAGATCACAAGTCGGCTATGATGGACTCACAGATCACAAGTCAGCCATGATGTACTCACAGATCACAAGTCGGCCATGATGGACTCACAGATCAAAAGTCAGCCATGATGTACTTACAGATCACAAGTCGGCCATGATGGACTCACAGATCACAAGTCAGCAATGATGTACTCACAGATCACAAGTCAGCAATGATAGACTCACAGATCACAAGTCAGCAATGATGTACTCACAGATCACAAGTCGGCTATGATGTACTCACAGATCACAAGTCGGCCATGATGGACTCACAGATCACAAGTCGGCTATGATGTATTCACAGATGACAAGTCAGCCATGATGTACACACAGATCACAAGTCAGCCATGATGTACTCACAGATCACAAGTCAGCCAAGATGTATTCACAAATCACAAGTCAGCCATGATGGACTCACTGATCACAAGTCAGCCATGATGTACTCAGAGATCACAAGTCAGCCATGATGTACACACAGATCACAAGTCAGCCATGATGTACACACAGATCACAAGTCGGCTATGATGGACTCACAGATCACAAGTCAGCCATGATGTACTCACAGATCACAAGTCGGCTATGATGGACTCACAGATCACAAGTCGGCCATGATGGACTCATAAATCACAAGTCGGCCATGATGGACTCACAGATCACAAATTCAGCCATGATGTGCTCACAGATCACAAGTCGGCCATGATGGACTCACAGATCACAAGTTGGCCATGATGGACTCACAGATCACAAGTCAGCCATGATGTACTCACAGATCACAAGTCGGCCATGATGTATTCACAGATCACAAGTCGGCCATGATGTACACACAGATCACAAGTCAGCCATGATGGACTCACAGATCAAAAGTCGGCCATGATGTACACACAGATCACAAGTGAGCCATGATGTACTCACAGATCACAAGTCAACCATGATGTACTCACAGATCACAAGTCAGCCATGATGGACTCACAGATCACAAGTCAGCCATGATGGACTCACAGATCACAAGTCAGCCAAGATGGACTCACAGATCACAAGTCAGCCATGATGGACTCACTGATCACAAGTCAGCCATGATGTACTCACAGATCACAAGTCAGCCATGATGTACACACAGATCACAAGTCAGCCATGATGTACACACAGATCACAAGTCGGCTATGATGGACTCACAGATCACAAGTTGGCCATGATGGACTCACTGAATCACAAGTCAGCCATGATGGACTCACAGATCACAAGTCGGCCATGATGGACTCACAGATCACAAGTTGGCCATGATGGACTCACTGATCACAAGTCAGCCATGATGTACACACAGATCACAAGTTGGCCATGATGGACTCACTGATCACAAGTCGGCCATGATGGACTCACAGATCACAAGTTGGCCATGATGGACTCACTGATCACAAGTCGGCCATGATGGACTCACAGATCACAAGTTGGCCATGATGGACTCACTGATCACAAGTCAGCCATGATGTACACACAGATCACAAGTCGGCCATAATGTACACACAGATCACAAGTTGGCCATGATGGACTCACAGATCACAAGTTGGCCATGATGGACTCACAGATCACAAGTCAGCAATGATGTACTCACAGATCACAAGTCGGCTATGATGTACTCACAGATCACAAGTCGGCCATGATGGACTCACAGATCACAAGTCGGCTATGATGTATTCACAGATGACAAGTCAGCCATGATGTACACACAGATCACAAGTCAGCCATGATGTACTCACAGATCACAAGTCAGCCAAGATGTATTCACAAATCACAAGTCAGCCATGATGGACTCACTGATCACAAGTCAGCCATGATGTACTCAGAGATCACAAGTCAGCCATGATGTACACACAGATCACAAGTCAGCCATGATGTACACACAGATCACAAGTCGGCTATGATGGACTCACAGATCACAAGTCAGCCATGATGTACTCACAGATCACAAGTCGGCTATGATGGACTCACAGATCACAAGTCGGCCATGATGGACTCATAAATCACAAGTCGGCCATGATGGACTCACAGATCACAAATTCAGCCATGATGTGCTCACAGATCACAAGTCGGCCATGATGGACTCACAGATCACAAGTTGGCCATGATGGACTCACAGATCACAAGTCAGCCATGATGTACTCACAGATCACAAGTCGGCCATGATGTATTCACAGATCACAAGTCGGCCATGATGTACACACAGATCACAAGTCAGCCATGATGGACTCACAGATCAAAAGTCGGCCATGATGTACACACAGATCACAAGTGAGCCATGATGTACTCACAGATCACAAGTCAACCATGATGTACTCACAGATCACAAGTCAGCCATGATGGACTCACAGATCACAAGTCAGCCATGATGGACTCACAGATCACAAGTCAGCCAAGATGGACTCACAGATCACAAGTCAGCCATGATGGACTCACTGATCACAAGTCAGCCATGATGTACTCACAGATCACAAGTCAGCCATGATGTACACACAGATCACAAGTCAGCCATGATGTACACACAGATCACAAGTCGGCTATGATGGACTCACAGATCACAAGTTGGCCATGATGGACTCACTGAATCACAAGTCAGCCATGATGGACTCACAGATCACAAGTCGGCCATGATGGACTCACAGATCACAAGTTGGCCATGATGGACTCACTGATCACAAGTCAGCCATGATGTACACACAGATCACAAGTTGGCCATGATGGACTCACTGATCACAAGTCGGCCATGATGGACTCACAGATCACAAGTTGGCCATGATGGACTCACTGATCACAAGTCGGCCATGATGGACTCACAGATCACAAGTTGGCCATGATGGACTCACTGATCACAAGTCAGCCATGATGTACACACAGATCACAAGTCGGCCATAATGTACACACAGATCACAAGTTGGCCATGATGGACTCACAGATCACAAGTTGGCCATGATGGACTCACAGATCACAAGTCAGCCATGTTGGACTCACAGATCACAAGTTGGCCATGATGGACTCACTGATCACAAGTCAGCCATGATGTACACACAGATCACAAGTCGGCCATAATGTACACACAGATCACAAGTCAGCCATGATGTACTCACAGATCACAAGTCGGCCATGATGTATTCACAGATCACAAGTCAGCCATGATGTACACACAGATCACAAGTCGGCTATGATGGACTCACAGATCACAAGTCAGCCATGATGTACTCACAGATCACAAGTCGGCTATGCTGGACTCACTGATCACAAGTCGGCCATGATGGACTCATAAATCACAAGTCGGCCATGATGGACTCACAGATCAAAAGTCAGCCATGATGTACTTACAGATCACAAGTCGGCCATGATGGACTCACAGATCACAAGTCAGCAATGATGTACTCACAGATCACAAGTCGGCTATGATGTATTCACAGATGACAAGTCAGCCATGATGGACTCACAGATCACAAGTCAGCCATGATGGACTCACTGATCACAAGTCAGCCATGATGTACTCACAGATCACAAGTCAGCCATGATGTACACACAGATCACAAGTCAGCCATGATGTACACACAGATCACAAGTCGGCTATGATGGACTCACAGATCACAAGTTGGCCATGATGTACTCACAGATCACAAGTCGGCTATGATGGACTCACAGATCACAAGTCGGCCATGATGTACTCATAAATCACAAGTCGGCCATGATGGACTCACAGATCACAAATTCAGCCATGATGTGCTCACAGATCACAAGTCGGCCATGATGGACTCACAGATCACAAGTCGGCCATGATGGACTCACAGATTACAAGTCGGCCATGATGGACTCACAGATCACAAGTCGGCCATGATGTACACACAGATCACAAGTCGGCCATGATGTACACACAGATCACAAGTCGGCCATGATGGACTCACTGATCACAAGTCGGCCATGATGTACACACAGATCATAAGTCGGCCATGATGTACTCACCGATCTCATGATGGACTCCTCAGTCTCCGTCAGGTTGGAGTCGCGCTGTGCAGCATGGACCAGCTCCATCCCAAACTTCACAATAGTGTTCCTCAGCAAACACATGTCATGGATTCCTTCAAACGGGGCTCTGAAATCAAAATTGAATTGTTTGACCCACCTGTCAAGTTGAAAACATATTGTCTATTTAATTGTGTTACTTTTCCTATTTTCTGAGCATTGAAAGACCAAAACACCAAGTGAGTGAGTGTGGTTTTACGCCGCTTTTAGCAATACTCACAGCAGGGACACCAGAAATGGGCTTCACACATTGTACCCATGTCGGGAATCGAACCTGGGGTTATAACATTGTGTCCAAGATTATTGCACTTACATAGCAATGTACATGCACGTGTGTGTGTGTGGCTGCTAGTACTAGTCAGGACTGATGCTGATTTTATAGTGCTAGCACACTGAGATACCATGCTGCAGTTTAACATGAATATCCAACACAGACACATTATACTGACTATGAGCCGACCAGTCCTTGTTTTAGCCCCCCAACGCTGAGCGCCAGACAGGGTAACAACAAGTACCATCTTTAAACATCTTTTGGTATGACGCGGCCAGGTATTGAACCCCGGGCCTTCCGCTCTCCTGGCGGACGCTCCACCACTAACCACGAGGTGGTCTCGTCTACATTGAACATGCTACACAGGGATCATGCTTCATAATCTGTTGCCTGCTGTAGCTTCCTGTAACCACAGAGCGGCTAAACATCATCTCTAAAGTCTTGGTGGGATGTTCAGTAAGACTATGTCATCAGAGGCGCAAGATCTGTCTTTTTGCAAGGGCTGAAAATATCCATTTGCATAATATTGGAAAGATTTGCAATTTTTGCTTTTGGATACTGAAAGAACAAAGATATCAGTCCACTCATACATATCACCGAGGCCGGACTACAGACATTCATCCTTTCTACATACATCATGTACATTATTGTTGTTGTTGGTTTGTTGTCTAACGCTGCACTCAGCAATATTCCAGCTATATGACGGCGGTCTGTAAATAATCTAGTCTGGACCAGACAATCCAGTGATTGATATCATGAGCATCGATACACGCAATTGGGATCGATGACATGCATCATCCAAGTCAGCGAGCCTGACCACCCGATCCCGTTAGTCGCCTTTTACGACAAGCATAGTCGCCTTTTACGGCAAGCATGGGTTGCTGAGGACCTATTCTACCCCGGAATCTTCATGGATCTCTACATACATTAACCACATCCAGTGTATAACTTAGGGCTGCAAGAATCAGTTCCAGAAGCAAGACCTGTGTTCACATTACACAAGTTTTAATACAGAAGCACTGGTTATCAATATGTCAGAGGATGAAGTACAAGATCCTTGTGCATGACTGAATCTCCCCTGTAACTCAAGGTTTTGATCGCTGTTTAATGCCGCACTCAGCAATATTCCAGCTATATGACAGCTATCGGTAAATAATCAAGTCTGGAGCATCATGAGCATCGATCAACGTAATTGGAATACGGTGACATGCATCAACCAAGTAAGCGAGTCTCACCACCCAAACCCGTTAGTCGCCCCTCACAAACATGATGAGTGACTAGTAAAGACAAATGTTCAAAACTTCAATACATTATGTTTTTTCTCACTGATCATTAATTTATTTTTTTCATATGAATACAGTATTGATCACAAACTCTACCATGACACTGAATTATGCTTTATTCTGATAGGTGAAATGAATTTCCAAAGCGCTCATTCCAAAAAAAATATATGAGTTATCAATTCCACAGTGAGACTATCTCAATCAAAACACAGGTTTATATCCAAAATAACAAACAAGCCTACCTGTCGAGCCATGACACCAGACACTTGAGCGTTGACAGGAGGTCGGCCATGGCAGACAGGACCTCGACGGTGAGCTGTTTGCGACGGTCCTGCTGCGAGACGTTGGCGCGGTTCTTGTCGTTCTCCCCGGTGATGGCCTGCACCATGTTGTGAAGGCTGCGAGCCTTGCACCCCAGTTGAAGGGCCAAGTGCTGCAGGTTCTCGGTGTCATGGCCGTAACGCTGCGGAGACACACGGGAAGGTTCATGTGCAATTTTGTTTGTTGTTTAACATGGCACTCAGCAATATACTAGCTATATGATGGCGGTCTGTAAATAACTGAGTATGGATCAGACAAACCAGTGATTGATATCATGAGCATCTATCTACGTAACTGGGACACGATGACATGCATCAACCAAGTCAGCGAACCTGACCACCCAATCCCATTAGTCGCCTCTTACGACAAGCATAGTCACCTTTTACAGCAAGCATGGGTTGTTGAAGACCTATTCTACCCCGGATCTTCACAGGTCGGGGACGTTCATGAGCATGATGAGTAACTATCACTTTTAGTAATATTTAGAGCTCCAGATAACTTTTTGAGCAATTGAGTTTTTACTTGAAGGTTTCTATCTTAATTGGGTTATTACATATTTTATTGGGAAACCAATATTTTTTCACTCATCTATTCATCACTCTATTGGGTTTTTCCCAAAATGAGTACGCATTTTGAGATTAAAAAAAATAATGAAATAATGTTTTAGATGTATATAACGGTTCTAAATATAGGCATGACTTGGAAAGTAAATTAGCTCATAATTGTGTCTCGGAAATTAGCCCCAGTGTACGCATGCTGAAAAAACATCATTGGGTATTTATGCGTGCTGTTTTCAAACTGTTGAAACAATTGAGGTCTTACACCGCTTTGAGCAATATTCCAGCAATATCACAGTGGGGCACACCAGAGTGAGTGAGTGAGTATGGTTTTACGCCGCTTTTAGCAATATTCCAGCAATATCACGGCGGGGGACACCAGAAATGGGCTTCACACATTGTACCCATGTCGGGAATCGAACCCGGGTCTTCGGCGTGACGAGCCAACACTTTAACCACTAGGCTACCCGACCGCCCCGGGGCACACCAGAAATGAGCTTCACACATTGTACCCAGGTGGGGAATCGAACATGGGTCTTTGGCATGACAAGCGAACGCTTTAACCGCTAGGCTACCCCACTGCCCCAGTGAGCTGAGTGTGCAACCCTTTTATGACATCATCTGAATGGATGCACACATCTGATGATCTCTTCAACAACATGCATTTTGGATTACAAAAAATAAAGGATCACCATTTGGGTTCATTTTCTTTGTCCTATACATGCTATAGGTCATCACTTTATGTGTAATTCGAGTAACCATGGCATCATAAGTGACATCATTACATTTCAAGAAGGAATTGTATTAATATTGAGAATTGTATTTCTTTGTAATTTAGTCTTTATAAAAGGTGCTTTTGTCATTACCGACCCCCTCACCATGCTGACCCCATGATATTGATTTCATTGCTTAATTTCGAACACAGTTAAACATCATAATATTAGTGTCTTACCTGGCCCTCAAAATAACACATTAGGTCAGGCAGTCATTCAGAATACAGTGAATCGCAACCAAAATTTAAGTTTCATATTTATCATCATGATCATTAGACCTGTATATTGGCAAAACAGATTTAATGCAATATACTGGGATACAGGTATCTGTATTGGGATACGTATTGTTTCATCTGGAAGCTAAAGTGTTTGGCAGTTATTGACACTGATTGTACATGCAGATCCTGTTTTCTACATACTGAAGTAAATATGGTCAGTTGCCACCATTTTGTAGTCATGGATACAGGGGAGATAACAACAAGAGAGAAACGTCACTTCTGCGTTTCTGCGCATTTGTCAATCAATTAGGAATGGAAACATCATTTGTGAATGAATAGCCGGGTAGATTTTAGGTTAAACGATACAAATGATAACGAAACTTGTTCTACTTTGTTTCACCCAATATACCAGAATACTTTTGAAATATTTCAAAAATTATCATTTGAACGTGTATTGCAGTGTGCAGGTATACCAGTAATACTGTGCAGCCTAGTCGGTCATAAAAACCCTGATACAAATATATCCAATACAGCCCATGCAAGTCTATAATGTTTGGCAAGTCTAGATTACTGCAGTATCAATATCTGAAAATTAAGAAAGTATCTGGGCTCCTTTTCATTATATTTTATACAGATAATTCAACAACAATTTTTTTCGGTAAGATATGTTCATTTCAGAGACTAGATGTCAGTCTATGTGCAGCCCTAATGCTCATGATAACAAGTACAGAATACAAATTAAAATTTGATACCAACCATTGCTCTCAGGAGGTCAACAGCTTCCAAAATCAGTTCCTGGTGACCTAGTTTGGAGACACTGAGCTTCTCCAGGTCCGAGTGGGTGATCATCAACAGCTTCTTGCCGTCAATGCCGTTGTTGTGGAAATGCTGAACATACTGACCAACAGCCTCATCCAGTCCTGGAATATATGATGTACACTATTTTTCAGGGCATTATCATTTGCAGAGTGAGTGAGTGAGTTTGGTTTTATGCCGCTTTTAGCAATATTCCAGCAATACCACGACGGGGGACACCAGAAATAGGCTTCACACATTGTACCCATGTCGGGATTCGAACCCGGGTCTTCGGCGTGACGAGTCAACGCTTTAACCACTAGGCTACCCGACCGCTCCTCATTTGCAGTCGCCCAAAGTCTGCCATTAACTTGGATAAAGGTGGGCTGTTGAACAGCAGCAGAAGTCTAATGGCTATTAGTAAAAACACACAACCGAGGTCATTGATGTACAAATAGCAATGCCATAGAACGTAAAATAGGATGCTGTCGCAAACAAAAATCGTGACAAGACTAGACAGCCGACCGTTGTTGGGGGTGTGCCATGTTCCCGAGGCAAGCGCGTCCACTAGCCTGTATCAAAGATAAGTTTCTACATGACTTTGTTAAAAAGGCTGGATGCTCTTGCCTCGGGAAGATGGGAATATGAGGGCTGCAATCAAGTTACAGTGGCCCGCAGATTTCTGAAAACATGCAGGCATTTTTATGATAATCCCATCCATTTCAGCCACAATACCTAAAGTGTGACGTGTGAACATTGTTTATGGTGCAGTCAGCAAATTTTCAGCTTTAGTGCTACTGTCTGTGATATTTTAGTACATCACTAAAGGTTTCTAAGCAAGTTAAAAATGTTGCCAAATCCATGTGCACGGGTATGGTCCAGATCATTTTCCGGGTTTTGAATCCATACTCTGTCTGAGCCAGACAAACCAGTGGTCGAAAGAATGAGTAATGTCCAATCTTGTCAGTGTACACGACACACAATCAGCCTGGATGCAATTTGAATGAGTAAGTGAGTATGGTTTTACGCCACTTTTAGCAATATTCCAGCAAAATCACGGCGGGGGACACCAGAAATAGGCTTCACACATTGTACCCATGTCGGGAATCGAACCCGTGTCTTCGGCGTGATGAGCGAATGCTTTAACCACTAGGCTACCTGTCCGGACCGATGCGGTTAGTCATGTGATATATTGTTTAATGACAAAAATGATCTGGAACTATATGGTTACACTACAAATCACAAATGTTCACATTTCATTCTGACTTTTATATGTTTGAATAAAGAAAAAAATTCAGGCAACTTCAATGTATGCATGGCCAGATCATTTTATACGTGTATCTAAATACATTTTGTCCAGGGCTACGCTCAAACTATGCACAATTGGACATTTTGTACATATCTTTTGAGACCTACAGCAGTAATTTAGGTAGGATTGGGTAATAGGGGGGTGGGAACCTGGGTAGTAAATTTGGACTCGTCCCAGCCCTTCTTTCAGTACCATACGTCATACCATCATTTTGGCCTCAACATTTTGCAGTGCAACAATCATATTTATGTACTTTTTTCATCCATGGTCGTGACTGATCCCATATTGCATCAGTTTCATGCAACTAAGTCAAAATATTACATAAACATGCATAAATATCAGGTTCAATCTGAAACAACAACAATCAGCACCAAATTTGCAACAAACTTCTGAAAAACTTACCAAATTGGGATTACAAATTTCCCAATTCATGTTAATAACTAATGTCATGGTTTTGTAGAGGTACCTTGTATTTCACTGACCAATTTCAGCAAAATAACGATGTTGTCCTGAATTGTCTGACAAGGGCACTTTGGAATCCTGGCAACTTCAATGTATGCATGGCCAGACCATTTTATACGTGTATCTAAATACATTTTGTCCAGGGCTACGCTCAAACTATGCACAATTGGACATTTTGTACCTATCTTTTGAGACCTACAGCAGTAACCTAGGTAGGATTGGGTAATAGGGGGGTGGGAACCTGGGTAGTAAATTTGGACTCGTCCCAGCCCTTCTTTCAGTACCATACGTCATACCATCATTTTGGCCTCAACATTTTGCAGTGCAACAATCATATTTATGTACTTTTTTCATCCATGGTCGTGACTGATCCCATATTGCATCAGTTTCATGCAACTAAGTCAAAATATTACATAAACTTGCATAAATATCAGGTTCAATCTGAAACAACAACAATCAGCACCAAATTTGCAACAAACTTCTGAAAAACTTACCAAATTGGGATTACAAATTTCCCAATTCATGTTGATAACTAATGTCATGGTTTTGTAGAGGTACCTTGTATTTCACTGACCAATTTCAGCAAAATAACGATGTTGTCCTGAATTGTCTGACAATGGCACTTTGGAATCCTGGTTAAATCCCTACATGATATGTTGTTCTTACAAATACACATAAATAGCATACGGCCCTCCATTGTCAGTAACATATGACATATACTACTCAAAAGAAGTTAAGGAACATCTGATTCTTTCATATTACTACAGTACATTATTGCGATGGTCAATCAATATGTATGTTTGTTGTTTGACGCCGCACTCAGCAATATTCCAGCTATATGACGGCGGTCTGGAAATAATCTAGTCTGGACCAGACAATCCAGTGATTGACATCATGAGCATCGATCCACGCAACTGGGATACGATGACATGCATCAAATAAGTCAGCAAGTCTGACCACTCGATCCCATTAGTCGCCTCTTATGAAAAGCATAGTCGCCTTTTACAGCAAGCATGGGTTGCTGAAGACCTATTCTACCCCGGGTCTTCATGGGTCTATAGTAATATGAAAGAATCAGGTGTTCTATAATGACTTTTGAGTAGTATATTTCTGACACCCAGTCCATCATTTTCACAGCATATCAAGTACTTGACCCATCAACTGATAAGAACTCAAGTCAATCAGAAGCTCGTTAAGACCATATTAGCTAATTAGCCCTGAGCCCACTGTAACACTGAGGTACTTCAGAGACTCTGACAGAGAACTGGACCCACCTGCACAAAGCGATCTTAGCGCTAAGATGATCGTAACTCCCATACCTTAACATTGGCTTACGATAGTCTTAGCACTAAGATCACTTTGTGCATGTGGGCCCTGGTCTATATATTTGCCTAGGGACTCTGGGTCATACATTTTGGGGGCCAACATGTCCAAGGGGGACCGTTGTGGCAACAGACAATTAAATACAAACCATCTGTGACCACTTGTTATACATAGGGACTTACTTGTTTGAATCCAAACCTAGTAACTGAGCTAAGGAACTCTGATATGGAGCATCTGGACATTGATTGTATTTCTTCAATGAGTGAGTGAGTGAATGCCGTGATATCAAAGTGAACTGTGGCCAGGCAAACCCCTTGGTGGCGCAAATAATGACTTTGTTTGTTGTTTATTGCCGCTCAAAGCTGAATCCCAGCTATATGTTTGTTTGGTTTGTTGTTTAACGCCGCATTCAGCAATATTCCAGCTATATGACGACGGTCTGGAAATAATCGAGTCTGGACCAGACAATCCAGTGATTGATATCATGAGCATCGATCCACGCAATTGGGATCGAGGACATGCATCAACCAAGTCAGTGAGCCTAACCACCCGATCCCGTTAGTCGCCTTTTACGACAAGCATAGTCACCTTTTATGGCAAGCATGGGTTGCTGAAGACCTATTCTACCCAGGAATATTCACGGGTCTTATCAGAAATGAAACATGAGAGGAATCTTAAGTGCAAGCTTCAGTTTGATCAATTATTCCAACACCCAAACCTTTTTGAGTACAATGGGATACACAGCTGATATTATATCATGTCTATTTTCGATTTGTATGTGTAAGACTATAAAAGACAATATTTCGCGTCCGGTAATACCCTACATATATGTAAAAATACATTTTATACAGTCTCCTTGCATACATTTATGCATAGTGTCTTACTTCATATGTGGTTTCAAATACATTTATGGCTGTCTCATCACTCATCATAACGACATGTCGACACTGGTATTGGTAATTTGGTAATGGTGAGAACGACAGGTGAGACAAATGACATTTCAATATTATATACCCCGGGGGTGTGCAATTACGAGACCATTTGATGCTACAGACAGAATTGTCTGGTGGAAACCATGTTTGTACCTCGGAGCCAGGCAGCTACTTGGTCAGGACTCCATCCTTCGAACTGGATGTGGGATGTATTCGCCATTTTCATTGAAAGGGTTCTTGAAATTATTCCACTTCCGTGTGATATAAAGTAAGGGACGTAACTCTAATGATGAACTTGTAGATGTTGAAGAAGCGGCTGTTAAATACCCGTTAGACAACGTCATGCGGAACCGCTTCTGATATAAAACCAAATCTACGGTGTTGCTTTTGGATATTGGTAATGTTATTACGAACCTAGATTTGTCAAATGGAATCGTTGTTGTTTTTCACATATGAAAGCTTGTACCAACCTGACGTGAGAAAAATTACTCTATTGTTTCTAACGTTACAGACTTGCAGAGGAGACACATCTTTTTCAAAAACTTCTACAAATAAGTAAATAAAGTAAACTCGGAATAACAAAATGTATTGCCCATCGGCTTAGAAATAAATATCGTATGAGCACTACTGCAAATCTCACTTCACGCGCACCAGTGTATCGGGTGGCATTGTTGACGTCGTTCGAATCTTATTGTGACGTAAAGCCAGAATGACGTCACAATGTTGGCGGTGGCGGTATAACTTGGTTATGATGTCTATCTGATTAGCGCTAGGTCGATCGTAACTCCCATTCTTCAACACTGACTTACGACAACCGTAGCGCTAAGATCGCTTTGTGGAACGGGGCCCTGTATATTTAAGATTTGGCTTTCACTTTGTATGAGTTCATTGGAGTATGAACCTTCATAGAGTGAGGGCCAAACTGTCGCAAGTTCCGACGTTCATACAATGTTTGGCCCTCACTCTATGAAGGTTCATACTCCAATGAACTCACACAAAGTGAAAGTCAATTCTTATAATTTTTATCACAATTTCTTACCTCAAAGGATGTAGGCCAAGATCTATACACAATTTTATTTAGTATGTGTGACTTCTTGTTTACACTGACAGCTATACAACAACCAGCTATATCACGGAATAAAATAGTTCCTAAAAAAGAGAGGTGACATGAACGTGTGGATGCACAACTTGCTCTTCAGAAACATCTTACGCAACACATGTATTGAAATAATATCACCATTAGATGAGAACGGTCTTGTATATTTTCAACAGCGAAGACAACACTTTTCACAACAGCCCATGGAAAAGTGTAAATGATGATAATTCCATTCATGTGTGCATCCTCATCATTTTACGAAACTCGGATCAGAAATCACGTATTTCTGACAATCGTTTCGAGACATAATGAGGATATGTTATGTCAGTCGTAAGTCTGTCCGGTGAATGTTGTTTGTTTTGTTTGTTTTTTAACGCCGCACTCAGCAATATAATTCCAGCTCTGACGGCGGTCAATTTGTTTCCTGTTATATATTGTTTCTCTCATACCACCAATGATTCGGAACGATTTATGAGAATTGGTAATTGTGTATACGGTCAGATCTGCACTTCATCTACGGCATACCAGAAATACACGTCTACCGTCTACCAAACCGTATTTACTGGCGTACACGACCGTTTGGCAAGTGCACAAGATTATCAAAGAAATGCACATCGGCGAAAGTGACGGTTGTGTCAGCGTGAGTGACCTGCGAGACAGCCTTCAAGGTCAAGTGGATGGAGCGTCTGTCCCGGGAGGGGAAGGTCGATGACTCGATCCCCCGCCGCGTCATTCCAAAACACGTTTAAAGATGGTACTTGTTGTTACTCTGCCTGGCTCTCGGCATTAAGGGGTGTGTGTGTGTTAGAGCCATACAATTGCTGGTAATTTATTGACCACACGTGATATATTTGGGATATTGCCGACATTGACCGTTAACAGGTGAGGTGAAATTGGGTTTAACGTCACGTCCAAGATTATTACACTTATATAGCGACGTGCATGCACGTGTGTGTGTGTGTGTGTGTGTGTGTGTGTGGTGGGGGGGGGGGGGGGGGGGGGGGGACCATGCATTGACCATAGCAAGAATGTACTGTAGTAATATGACAGAATCAGATGTTCCTTAACTTCTTTTGAGTAGTATATGTCATATGTTACTGACAATGGTGAGGTGAAATGGGGTTAAACGTCGCGTCCAAGATTATTGCACTTATATAGCGACGTGCATGCACGTGTGTGTGTGTGGCTGCTTGTACTAGTCCGGACTGATGCCGATTTATAGTGCTGGCCCACTGAGATACCATGCCGCAGTTTAACATGAATACCCCACTCAGACACAGTATACTGACCAGTGCTTGTTTTAGCCTCTTAATGCCGAGCACCAGACAGGGTAACAACAAGTACCATCTTTTAGCGTCTTTTGGTATGACGCGGCCGAGGATCGAACCCCGGACCTTCCGCTCTCCGGTCTACCGCTAGACCACGGAGGCGGTCTTGACCATTAACATGTAACTGGGTTGGTATTCTTATGTTTGCATTTAGGTGAAGGAGTGTTCTATTCCACATGCCCATGTAGGCTGGTACCAATCTATAGCTCAATTGTTTGAAAGGAATGAAAAGGCTAGCCGTATTTGTTACAATATGTAACAGCTGGTGGGGATTAGAATAGGTACCCAGCAGCCTTTACTGGTCGTCGGGAGGTCCGTTCCGTGAGTTGTTTGATAATTATACTCGTACCCAATGACTTGGATCGTTGCTCAAAATATTGATCACTGGATTGTCTGGTCCAGACTGGATTATTTACAGACCTCTGTATAGCTGCGATATTGCCTGGTGTGGTGTTAAACAATATAGTTACCAAGTCATGTGTAGCCAACTACTTTAAATTTTCCTACCTCCAGTTCCACTGAGGTAGAAAAAGGTGTCCAGGCCCCCGGATCCTGAAATTTTGCCAAGCAGGAATTTTGTCTTTAGTTTTTTAGATTTTGCTTAGCTAAGATTCGGTCTAAGATTGGATCTTGAAACGGTCTCAGCAAAATCTCCACCATCTTTCTTGCAACAAATTTTGTCTCTTAAAGTTTACTCAGGGGCAGTCTTAGGACGTAAGATCAAATTTTGTCTTAGACTTAAGATATTCTCATAGATTGAACTTCGTGATCCCCGATTTAAGACAAAATTTGGTGTTAAGTCCAAATCTTAAGAGTTAAGACAAAATATGGTCTCAAGTAAGTTTCATGATCCCGGGGCCAGTTGTCCTTGCTTTATAGAATGTAACCTGATTGGTTGGATGCCATTACACTGGATGGTGATAATCACTGCCCTTTACTGATTTAGCTGGTCCACACAGAAGTAATTACAGACTGATGGAATACATACGGGGGGCGTTCAATAAGTTTTGCAACTTCAATATAAGACCAAGTCGCAGAATATCTTTTGCACTTTCATTTTTAATATAATCTCCATTCACCTCAATACACTTATTCAATTTGTCCTTCAAGCTTTTAATACCACTTTTATAAAAATCCGCAGATTGGCCCTCCAACCACGTGGCAGCCTTTATGTCCTCGTCATCCTGGGAGCGTCTTCCACGTAGGGCAGACTTCATTTGCCGGAACAGGAAATAGTCACTGGGGGCTAAGTTATAATTCACATTCACTTATGGCGGCCTGTGCAATTCTCGACCGTTGAACCGGAGCGTTGTCATGCAAAAGTAGAATACCACGTGCTACCATCCCACGGCGTTTCTGGCGAATAGATTTTCGCAATTCTTTCATTACGTTAGCATAATACTGTCCATTGATTGTAGTTTTTGGTGGCATGTAACCAATTACTACTATGCCTTTTGCATCCCAAAATATGTAACAAATCACTAATATGCCTCTTGCATCCCAAAATATGTTAGTCATTACCTTGCCAGCCGAAGAATTGAGGTGCTCCCAATGCATGGATTACAATTTAGTTTCTGGGTCCCAATAGGTGGATCCATGTTTCATCACCTGTCACAGGACAAGAAAGAAATCCGGCTTCATCAGCAGTATAGAGATCCAGGAGGTCTCAACAACTTTCAGTTCTCTGATGGCAATTTTGAGCTCTGAGGTTTCTAGGTACCCATCTTGCAGATACCTTGGACATACCAAGATGCTCATGAATAATGGTTACAACAGTTCCAACTGATATTTAGAATTCCTTAGAAAGTTCAGATACTTTCACTCGTCAGTCAGACAAAATCCTTTCTATAGCAGCAATGGTTTCCGGTTGGGTGGCATCTGAAAGCCTGCCTGACCTTGGGTCATCGTCTATGGACTCCATGCCCCTTTTTAAACTGTAGAGACCAACGACAAACTGTGGAATAGTCAGGAGCATCCTTACCCAAAACTTTACATATGCGACATGTATTTCTTTTGCTTTGCATCCCTCCTTAGTAAGGAACTGTATTACAGCATGTTCATGTTTGAGATAATCCATGATTGTGACCACTCTTAGGGGAATAAAGCCATCACATCTAACTTATTGTGTCTGGAACTTATGACATGTGTCAACCTGATGTTATGACTAGTGTCACACCTGCCACAAGTTGACATTTTTTGTGTAAACACAAATGCCCAAGTTGCAAAACTTATTGCTGTTATTTAACTTCTTTTGAGTAGTATATTTGTAATCTTGCTGACTGTCAACACCTTTCAGTCACACCGATACTGCTGTATATAGATGTGTACAAGTCACTGGTAAACACACTAGCACATCCAGAGGTTGGGCAGGATACACATGAAGATGAGGCCAGCCCTGTCAATTCACCTCTGAACAGATGTCATTTGTATAAAGGAGTTTCACCGAGTGAGGAAACCTCAGATGGAACAGCTCTCTCTTCAGAAACGCCATAAGCATAGGTAAGGATCTTGACTCAAGGATTATCAAGGTGAATTTGGGATTTGAACCGACATTCAGTGGTTCCTGGTAAAACTAAACTCTGCAGTGTCTTGGATCAATGACAGTGGGGGAACCCTCTGTGTGCGTGTTTTCTTTTGTTTTTGTCTAGGGATGGCCACCCCCCTTTTTTTAAACATCTGATTACTTTTGTGTAAGGGCAATGCATATCATAACATGATGTGGTAGTTAAAATTAATAATGTTTTACATAAAGTGTTTGTTATTGTTTTTAGTGGACCCCTTCCCCCTGAAGTTACAAATGGCCCAAATACTACTCCCCACCTTTCTTTTTCTTAACTCCTCAAACCGTTCTTGAATGCATCACTGACGTGAACATGCTGGATTTGCTAATATACATATCCCAAAGAGAACATCATTATTTTTCAACTTGCTGAAGTCAACCTCGTAAAGGTTAAAGTCTTCGCTCTTCAAGCCAAAATCCTTAGTTTGATTTTCCCCACATGGGTACAATGTGTGAAGCCAATTTCTGGAGTCACCCACCATAATATGATAGTGTGTAAATCACACAGTATTGATTTTATCCCAAACTTTAGATGATCCGGGTGTCAGAATAGTCCCCCAGCAACCTATGCTTGTCATAAAAAATGACTGTATGCACTGGGTGGTCAGACTTGGTGACTTGTGGCCTTGTACACAAATCACGATCCATTTGTCATATGGCTGGAATATTGCTCAATGCTCAAAACATAAGAAACAATTCCCTTGTCTTATTGAACTTGTTTATTCAGATGTTGTAACAAATAATATTTCCCAAACATCCGATGTATTGATGTCCACAAGCTTCAGAAAGGCTGCCGCCTTACAGCTGGTTAGGTCAATTCACATTGGTTTGTCTATAGTCAGTTTCTCTCTGCATCACACACATACATAAGTAATGGTCTATCTACACACATCTACATCATTCCGGGGGTATTCCTAGTTCCTCGTCTGTCCATTTGGAGGGGTCAGGGTATTCAAAGTGACCCTGAAAACAAACAAGAATAGCAACTTATATCATCTTAAATGCAATTGTGCAGATCAATGCTGACGATGTCAATCACTGCATTGTCTGGTTCAGATTCGATTATTTACACACCACTGTCATATAGCTGGAATATTGCTGAGTGTGGCATTAAATAACAAACAAACAAACATTCATATCAACCCTTTCAAACATAGCTCTGAACTAAGATTGATGATGTTCATGAAGGAAAAGAGATCTGCCGTCTGAGGACATAAACATGGTGGAGACAGTGATTGGTCATTCCTTGTATTATTCCCTTAATGCCGAGTGCCAGGGAAGATAACAACAAATGCCATCATTTAATGTCTTTTGGCGTGATGCGGTCAGGGACCTGAAGTACTGTCAAGGAATACCTAGATGAATAGTTTAAGCAACTCTATACTACATGAGGCGTAATCACATGATTTCATTTCTGAAACAAGGTATACTTTGGAAATGCCATCCTATAGTCTACTTTTCTTTCCAAGTATTATGTACAGGTTGCATATTTCGTGTAAATATCTTCCTATATTGCCATTTACTTATAAGCATGTTTAACTTTCTTCACCATGTTCACAAGACCTAAATAATATGTTTTAAATATTAAGAACATCCTGTTTATCACATGTATTAGTTAATGAGATTATAAAGGAAGCAAGTGAACTGCCTTTAACTACCACCAGTCATACCACAGCATCGCAGCTCATTATTATTGTCATTATTATCACAACACCTCATACACATGTCATATTGATAACTTACATAAAGATGATCTGGCTCAGTTATCAAGTGATAAAGAACCCAGTACCAAAGGGCAAAACCAACTATTTCAGCTTTTATCAACGTCTTCCTAGAGGCTGGAGCTGCTAAACTTCTGTACACCCATCTGAAAATGAAAGAAATAATAATGATTAATTGTCATTTTCCTATAATGACCATCATGTCAAGGTAATATGTAAAACCACTAAAAGAAAGCTGTTATAAGTAACACTGGTACAGCAAAACACTAAACCATGTTGACAAAAATAGCTTAAGTATACCTGAAGTTTGGATGACCACACTGGGCAACACATTGAATCTAAAACGACACCACATATTCTGTGACCCTAGCCACCAGTCCGAATCCCGAATTCTGTTCAGCCTTGACAGCTTGGCTAATTGCCTCATTGCCCATATAAAAAATACAGAAAATGATGTTAATTGCTATCTTAGTGGCTATTTGTCTCAAAGAATTTGAATTTGGTGCAGACTGCCAAGTAATAAAAACATAACACCACCATGTTCGGTTCATTCCCATGAAATATCCTGCATAGAGGCAAACATGTCATACAATTTGAGCTGACACAATGTGTTCATAGCCCGCTAACGATGGTGGCGGATTGTTAACATAGTACATATATAGAGATGAGATAAATATTAAATTTAATGAAATACATCATCGACATAAATCACAAACATAACCACCTCATCTATTTCTGATTGAACAGTTGAACGTTAAAATGTGCACGAAATCTGGTGGTCTGTAAGTTTTAGATCATGTTTAATAGTTTGCATTACATGAAAATATTTTATTAATAGCTTTATAACTTACTGGCCCCCATGCCGAACTGGGACGATCTGTTTACATGCTGTCGATTTAAAGACAGCACCCGCCGTCCTTAAACGCGACAAGAAATACATGACTTTCCCAACGAAATGTTGAAGGGGAAATGGCGTCTATCAAGGTCAAGGTGAAAGAAAATAGTTCAATAACGATTTTTTACATATAAACTAACAGAAGATAATTTTCATATGTATTATTAATGTTATTTCACTAAATCCTCATTTTAACCTTCGTAAGCAAAAAATATCCCCAACATCATATTTTGAATCGATATTACCTACAAAAGCGCCCTCTATGATTGTCCAAGATGGCGTCCTTAGCGACAGGTGCCCGTTGTAAATAGTGACAGTTTACTTGACAATTGAGTGCGAGATGGGAGTAACCGGCTGGTGGCTTTGACAACGTCGTGTGAGTTAAAGCGTTTATCGCTGTCTGTATTAACACGTAACATGTAACTATCCTTGTATTGATTTGTTAGATGTCAATTTACCACAAGAAATTAGCATTTTGTTGCCATAAGTCGGATCAGAGACTGTGATATCTCAAAACTGTGTTGAAGCATGTTAAGCCTTGACCATAGATCTAACTACCGGTAGGAAGTTCATTTCGGTGATACAGATATGTAAGTACGAAATTAAATCCATGTGTTTACATTCCTCCTGGATTTAAATTTAAACATTAGTCTTAAATAGAAACTTATTTTTGTGTGATATTTATGACTACCATAAGGTCACTATGACATCTTGCAAGCAGTATGTCTTTTCTTAAATTGAAGTACTTTCATCACATAATAATTGTCTGAAGAGCTTCCAGCTATTTCCAATTAGTTAAAAAGTAATATAACATTTTCTGTTATATATTACCAGATTACACAGAAAAACACCCTTGAAGATCATTTGATGAGTCTGTGATTTTAGCCAGTTCGCCAGTAAATTTTCATTTAAAGGTCGTCCATATGCTTAGACTAAAATCTACTTTAAGAAAAATACCAAAATACAAGTTCAGGCTAGTAGACTCAAGTATTTGGCACAGTGTTTGATGCATAATTTTACAATCACAATCACACAGGTGGATTCAATATGTTATTAGAATGAAGTTGAGTGACAATCTGAGAAGTTATAATTTCTGGTTTAGACCAAAACCTCTTTTCTATTTCATAACAAATATTCAAATTATTTGTCTTTCTTCTGTTCATATTTTCGACAGATATAGCTAGGCTATACCTTTTTTTTATATCCATTGTTGTCAACTAGAATGTTTAATTTCTTTGTGCATATATCCAAACCATATTTGTATGTACACGTTGGAGACAAACATATCTGTCATGTAAAGAGTCTGTGAATTTCGTCACTTGTCCGATGCCCGAGTCTAGTCAAATTCTGTTTGGTTTAGTAAGCTTAGCTCTTAATAGTCCTTATAATAACATTGAAATCTACTGAAAATGATTTCAAGTACCATGTTTGGGCAAATAGATTTACACGTTTTTGGAACAAACTGTGAAAAACCCATATATATATATATATATATATATATATATATATATATATATATATATATATATGTTAATCATAAATTTAAATAAACATTTTATTATTCTAATTTGTGATTTCATTCATCTCCTCAGTTACAACACACAGTCATATGATCATGGCAAGTGAGCCGGCAAAACGAGAAACTGAGGCTGTTGTTCCCTCTAATGAGTCCCGTCTGATGCCAACGGCGCCTCCAGGACCAAATCTTCCAACAATGTTCGGGGAAATCCTAGAAACTAGTGTGACATTTTGTGTGGATACGTCAGGTAGCATGTACAACTGCCTCCATGTTGTACAGGAACAGTTGATTGAAACTCTCTATAAACATGCACGTCGCGACCGAGACACTCTGTTTAACATCATAGAATTTAACACCGAGGTGACTCAGTGGGCGGACAAGATGGTGAAATGTACGCCTGAAACTGTCGCAGTGGCTGCAGAGTGGATTAACAAACTATCAGCAAAAACCGGAACAAATACCCAAGATGCTCTCCTAACTGCCTTCAGTGACCCAAAGTGTCGAGCGGTGTATTTAGTAACAGACGGTCTGCCTGACCAGCAAACTGAGGACATTCTAGACCATGTTGCCTATGTGAACGAGAATCGACCTGTCCACTGCATCTACATTTGTGAGAACAAAGCTGACGAAGCCGCAACCGAATTTCTCGAAGATCTGTCCTTTGAAACTTATGGGTCATTCCACATTGTTACCATGACGACTCACGGATGTGTTGAGCGCATTACCCCCGTGTACCGAACAGACCATGCCCACGAACGTCTCATTAGAACTGTGGAGGATCATGTTCGCCCCAACGTGAGAACATGCAGCGTGACAACAACGCTTAATGCTGATCCTGAAGATGCCCTCAATCTACCCAGGGTGTCTGCTCTCAACCAGTGGGCCTTCCCACCTTACTGGTACCCATTTCTTGGACCGTTTCCACAACGGTACTACTACCCACATTACTGGAGCCGGTACCGCCCGGCGAAGGCGTGGTTGAAGGCCCAGGACTCGCTGTTCGACCCCCTGGATCTGTCCCCTGCCGCCGGCGCTTTGTTGATCGGGAAGAGAGTGATGGCGCGGAGAATAGATGATGGATACTTTTACATGGGAACTGTTCAGAGTCAGGTAATTTCAATTCCATATATACTTGGCAATTTTTTTTTTCCAACTCAGAATTTTCCCAAGATGGATATTGGCAACATTTTTGTTTTGCAATACATTGATGCCGTGACACTGGAGAGGTTTCTATGAAATTTTAGACAATGATAAATACAATGGAAAAAATGTTGTGTCTCTTCCTTAGCTGAATATTCAAGGAACATCACCTTTTTAATGTGGTGACTTGTTAACAAAAAAGAGAGAAAAATAATGCACTTATAACACATTTATACTGATATCTTATGTTGAGAAGATGTTGCAATTCATACTGTTTCTAATCCACAAGATGTGTCACACGTTTAGATACTAATAATCTTTAGTTCAGCTTACTGGTTCCTTTCAGTGTTGTGAACATTATAATTATTTTGTTCAAAATTGGGATATTTTGAAAGTTATTACTTTCTTAATCAGAGGTACTTTAATATGGTCTTAACACACGATTAAATTGAAGAATGTCAAACTAATTATTTTGTAAGAATGGTATTGTTGTAAACTAACTGATGAAAGTCCTTCTGAAAGTCTCACTCTCTCTCTGGTCGTGTTATCAATGAAATACAAGTGAACTCTGAAAAGTCATAACATTCGTTATGACTATCATAACATGAAGAGGAATTGTTTGTTCCAATTCGGGGTTGTCACTGATATTTGCTGTGTACTTGAGGCCCCAAATCGGTCATGATCAATCCTGGTATAGGACTAAAGCGTGTATCTATGTTGGTGAAAACAGTGTCTGAAATAACCGCCTGCCTGCCCGCCAGCCCATTGCTGGTAACCTTTTTGTTGGGATGCATGAAATTTTCCACCCCTTGCCCGACTGTCTGACAGATAAGTTACAGACGACTTTCATGTTCAATTTTATCATAACTTCTCGTAGATTCTCAAGTAAGTATTTACATTACTTAAACTGAATCAAGACATGATTTTGTCTCATATTTTTCGCAATATTTCAACATTATAATGTTTACAAAGTGGGCAGGCAACTTTGAACATGTTGAAGATGGGCAGGCAACATGTATAGGTCACCTGATCAACTGACTTGTGGGGTTCAAAAATTTCCAAACACTTGGTGAATTTATTGAAATTGGTATGTGTGATATGCTGCTAAAGTAGTACACAATTCTTTTGAGACAAGTCTTATGTAGCTAGTTTGGCAATCTCATTAAAATCAGATCTTAGTTCTCGCTTCCGCTTAACAAAGATCTGAAGACATCCCATTAGGGGTCATGTCAGAACGACCTTTCATCTGACCAATCAGTGCGTCGCTTACCAGATTATGAAGGTGACAGTCGGAATGTGATTTCTAATCATGCAATCTCGAAAACTTTAACATGGGGTATTCCGAACGATAAGTATGGGTTTAACGACTGAATCCTTACAATCTAGACCATCTATTAGCCATTCCAGAATGTTTTTTTGTTCAGGTTTCAAATTTGTAATCGAGAATTTGTCAAAATATGCTTCGAAGCGTAGTCGCCAATTTGAAATTTGTGCCGTAAAGCACGAGAAAGCTGCCTTCTGATTGGTCATTCCATTGGTCGGTCAAAGTTCGCGCAAGGTCGGTCTGACGTGACCCCTAATGGGATGTCCTCAGATCTTTGTTTAGCGAGAACTAAGATCTGATTTTAATGAGATTGCTAGTTTGGTGAGTAACATTATGGGCTTGTGTGGGGCAGTGGGGTAGCCTAGTTGTTAAAGCGTTTGCTCATCATACCAAAGTTCAATTGGTTCAATTCCAACACATGGGTACAATGTGTGAAACCCATTTTCTGGTGACACCCACAGGCAGTCTTGTTATCGGGCCGGTTTCATATCCGAAAGACAACGAAGAAAGTAAAAAGGAATAAAAAAATAATTTGTACCTGCTGATTGATATCGATGCGAGATGAAGATGAACAATCGATATGGGGTTAAACGTGAATCGATGCCAAATTAAGTGTATCAGGTATCGTATCGTGCAAAGTTTGCAGATGATGCACCGACGTACCGGTGAATTGCGGCATCACTATGCGTAAACCCTGTTAGATAGAACATCTATAATGTTGTTCTTACCTGATCAATAAAACAAGTACTTTGTACACAATACATATTGGATTGGATTAATAAAATATTGATGCCCCTGATAACGTTATTGTCATAAGGCCTACTGTCCTTTGTGTTTAAGTAATTGAGTCAGGCATTTTATGCCTCGTCTGCTTCTCCGTCTTCCTCTTCTTCATCAGGAGTCATGAATTAAATTTGTGTTACTTTGTATTGTTTGAAGAATCCAGCCCTCTTATTCAAATTGAGGTCAGTATATGGAGACATGTTTATCCCTGCATCCCTTTTGCCCCATTCTTGACACAGTTATTGATAAATGTTTTAAAAAATTAAAAATTAAAAATATTAAAATTCACATTCATTTTGGATGTTTCTGTTCACTATACCTCTTGTCAGTATTTTAAAGACCACTCTTGGAGGTTATGATCCAAAAGAGAGTTTAATTCCATTGAACATGTGAATGTTCAGTTTCCATTGAGATTAGTGACATGAATGGCAGGAAGGAGACATGCAGTGAATCCCAGTGACAAGGAGGTGTGTGAACTGAGGCCCTGAACAAACGCTGAACACGGGTGAACAGCCCAGGAGAAGGGTGGTATTGTGTACCCACAGTGTTCAAGTTGCTAGGTATATGCTACACACACTGGGCTATGGTGTTGCTATAATAGCCTATCACAAGGGGTGTGACTAGGTAATGAGCGGACAGATAAAGCCCTGGCCCAGGTTGTAGTGGAGATTTGTTGGGTAGAAGTGGTGTTATGGTTACACTTATATTTCCTGTTGTTGCTTTAAGAAAGCTGTGGTACAGATTACCTTGTCTATGCTACTTTTGGTCTTTGAAAGGCATTTAGATGTGATACACATAAGGAAGAGAATATATGGATGTCAGCTTCTTTATTATGAGGAACAAAACGTTTCAGAGTATATGCTTACTCCTTCATCAGGTGAATGAAAGCCATGAGGCAGAGAGCATATATGTGTACAGTAAGGACAACAAAATTAATAAGATGACAAAAGGTGGGAAATAACAAAGGGTAGAAACTAACAAGGGAAGCCAACAGATGATTGGTGCTGATAGGTGATTAACATTACATATACATGTACTCCGAAACGTTGTGTTCCTCATAATAAAGAAGTTGACATCCATATATTCTCTTCCTTGTGCTACTTTCGTTCAAATATTTCTTTATATATTTGTTTCATTGAGAAAAACATTCTAATTTTGTTCGGTTATTTTTTATTTACTTTTTTCATTGAGAAATAATTCATTGGCAGCTGTTTTAAGATGTTAAAGTGAATATCAACTGATTTTGCTGGCCTTTTCAGCAGAACAAGATTAGTTTTGAAATCAGTTGTCAAAATATAGTGTAGGCCTCTGATTCTGAGGTAGAAATTAATTCAGCCCATTATTACAATAATCATTTTATTATACACATTGATTACATGTCCCTAAAAAGATGAAGGAATATGTGACTGTTGCTTACCCAATATAGTATGTCAGCAGATTTGCAGCATTTGACTGTGAAAAAAAGTCATCCAATTGAAGATGATATAAAAGAGTTTATCACGGTCCACTTGGTCCAGACTTGATTATTTACAGACTGCCGTCATACAGCTGGAATATTGCTGAATGCGGCGTTAAACAAACAAACAAACAAACAAACAACAGAAACAGGACAGTTGTTATGAAATGTGCCCTTTGTTTCACAGATTCTCCAGGACAAATTCCTGGTAGGTTTCGGCCCCTGTAAGCATGGCAAGTACAGGGACACATCGTACCAGGACACCTACGTCTACGATATAGTGGACCTGATAGATGCCAAGCGGCACACCATCCTCACAGGGGACAGGGTGCTGGCCCCCTGGGAACCTGAAGGGGAGCGGTACGGCCCCGGGATCGTCATCGACGGACATGAGCGGAGAGATGCTGACGGTAGGAAGTTTAAAGTTAAAAGTTTATTTTCTTACAGATTCATGGCTCTGTTACCTGATGCCCATTCATGCTCCAGACCTTGGTGTTGTAAATAGTACCATGTGTGAGAGTGAGATTGGTCTCTGCATTACTCATCACACTGAAGGACTTGAAGACAACTTGCTGGAACTAGTTGGCAAGATACTACCTTCTGTTTTGGAATATTTTTGCTGGCATGAGTCAGTCGAGAACTTGACACAGGAAACTAGAAATTTATATAAGATTTTTTTATTTTGTTTGACAAGCTCTTTTTGTGGGAAACATTTCTCTTTTAGTTACAGTAAGCTACGATTAAAATGAACTCAAAGTGACCACTCATTTTCGTTTGTTATAACTGTAGTTCATTATAAGCATTTCGACTGAATTTCCTCTCTAGTGTCGCATTTAAAGACAGAATTTATCCACTTCAAAGGCTATAGTCTGATCACTGTTTTACTATTGTTAATTGAGGGTGTAAATTGGGGGCAAGATGTCAGTCCTTAGTCCAGCTAATCACTTGCCTTCAATAGGTGAACATTTGGCCCTTTGAAAGGTAGTTTATGGTAATTTAAGGTAAGGTTAGATTTATACTCAAAAGTGAGTTGTACCCTCACACACTAGACTGAAGTAGATGGGATAGTGAGAATACGGCGTACACTGTAAGAGGAACGTAAGTCCAGAAAAACCCCAGTGATTTGTTTATCATGGATTTCCTCTGTGTTCCTGTCCATTTCAAGATTCCCTGCTGTCTTTGTTAAGATCTGAGACACATCTTCATGAAGTAGGAATACAGTATGGATTACCTGATGATGGGTATCACTAAAATTTAATCATTTTACTGATTTTGTAACTTTATCTTATAGAACAGAGCCATCCATCAATTTTTCAACCAGTTCCTTGTATTTCCTTTGTCTTGATAACTGGGTTGCTTTTGAATCTGTAATGTATACTACACAAAGATGTTAAAGAACACCTGATTCTTTCCCATTACTATTGTTAATCTGTCATAGCATGATCGATTAAGTAAAGTAACGTTAAAGAATTGGGTGTTCTTTAACTTCTTTTCAGTGGTATATAAAGAATAAATATAGTCTCTAATAGAATATTTATGAAAATATTAAGGGACAAATATGTTTCGTAAAATTTTGACATCCATGTTTTTATTAGAGACAGTAACTAAGGTAAAAATTATCAGGACCGAAAGATAATTTCTGGTTGATAGATATTATAGATACCCTGACAAAGATATTCAGAAAAAATCAACAGAGAAAAGAAATAAATTTGTGGATGATGAATGTCATTGTATCCCAATTTCGTAGATCAATGCTCATGATGTCAATCACTGGATTGTCTGATCTAGACTTGATTATTTACAGACCAATATCACATAGCTGGAATATTGCCGAGTGTGGGGTTAAAAAACAAACAAACTAACTTACAAACATACAAATAAAACAAATATTAGCCTAACAGAGCCTGACCATTCTAACTTCATTGTTAAGTCATCTCTTACGACAAACATGGGCTACTGAGGGCCTATTCTTGCCTGGAATCTCAAGGGACTGGATGTAGTTGGTCATTATTGAGTGATGTGGTTTTTCCTGCACACTGAGTAAGACAGAGGTATGATGTCATGTCTGGATGTGCCTGACTTTCCCAGTTTACCTGCTGTACGTGTGAACGTTATCCTGGAGGGATCTCTCCCGCCCGGTGTAGCGTGACTTGGATGAACTCCAATCTGGAGAGCGGGAGTCTTCCTACATACTTTATGAGATTGGTATACAGATCATTCTGAAGATAAGACATCGCTTGCCCTGACATCATGGACCTGGTGTCTGGCACAGAACTGATACAGTGTCTGGCACAGAGCTGATACAGTGTCTGGCACAGACATTGCGTGGTGTCTGGCACAGAATCGACAATGTGTCTGACACAGACATGGCGTGGTGTCTGGCACAGAATCGACAATGTGTCTGACACAGACATGGCGTGGTGTCTGGCACAGAATTGACACAGTGTCAGACACAGACATGGCGTGGTGTCTGGCACAGAATTGACACAGTGTTAGACACAGACATGGCGTGGTGTCTGGCACAGAATTGACACAGTGTCAGACACAGACATGGCGTGGTGTCTGGCACAGAATTGATACATTGTCTGGCACAGACATGGCGTGGTGTCTGGCACAGAATTGATACAGTGTCTGGCACAGAACTGATACAGTGTCTGGCACAGAGCTGATACAGTGTCTGGCACAGACATGGCGTGGTGTCTGGCACAGAATTGATACATTGTCTGGCACAGACATGGCGTGGTGTCTGGCACAGAATTGATACAGTGTCTGGCACAGAACTGATACAGTGTCTGGCACAGAGCTGATACAGTGTCTGGCACAGACATGGTGTGGTGTCTGGCACAGAATTGATACAGTGTCTGGCACAGACATGGCGTGGTGTCTGGCACAGAATTGATACATTGTCTGGCACAGACATGGCGTGGTGTCTGGCACAGAATTGATACAGTGTCTGGCACAGAACTGATACAGTGTCTGGCACAGAGCTGATACAGTGTCTGACACAGACATGGCGTGGTGTCTGGCACAGAATTGATACATTGTCTGGCACAGACATGGCGTGGTGTCTGGCACAGAATTGATACAGTGTCTGGCACAGAACTGATACAGTGTCTGGTACAGAGCTGATACAGTGTCTGGCACAGACATGGCGTGGTGTCTGGCACAGAATTGATACATTGTCTGGCACAGACTTGGCGTGGTGTCTGGCACAGAATTGATACAGTATTGGACACAGACATGGCGTGGTGTCTGGCACAGAATTGATACATTGTCTGGCACAGAGCTGATACAGTGTCTGGCACAGACATGGCGTGGTGTCTGGCACAGACATGGCGTGGTGTCTGGCACAGAATTGATACATTGTCTGGCACAGAGCTGATACAGTGTCTGGCACAGACATGGCGTGGTGTCTGGCACAGAGCTGATACAGTGTCTAACACAGACATGGTGTGGTGTCTGGCATAGAATTGATACATTGTCAGACACAGCCATGGCGTGGTGTCTGGCACAGAATTGATACAGTGTCTGGCACAGACATGGCGTGGTGTCTGGCACAGAATTGATACAGTGTCTGACACAAACATTGCGTGGTGTCTGGCACAGAATTGACACAGTGTAGGACACAGACATGGCGTGGTGTCTGTCACAGAATTGACACAGTGTCGGACACAGACATGGCGTGGTGTCTGGCACAGAATTGACACAGTGTCTGGCACAGACATGGCGTGGTGTCGGACACAGAATTGATACAGTGTCTGGCACAGACATGGCGTGGTGTCTGGCACAGAGCTGATACAGTGTCTGGCACAGACATGGCGTGGTGTCTGGCACAGAATTGATACAGTGTCTAACACAGACATGGTGTGGTGTCTGGCATAGAATTGATACATTGTCAGACACAGACATGGCGTGGTGTCTGGCACAGACATGGCGTGGTGTCTGTCACAGAATTGATACAGTGTCTGACACAAACATTGCGTGGTGTCTGGCACAGAATTGATACAGTGTCTGGCACAGAGCTGATACAGTGTCTGGCACAGACATTGTGTGGTGTCCGGCACAGAATTGATACAGTGTCTGACACAGACATGGCATGGTGTCTGGCACAGAATTGATACAGTGTCTGGCACAGACATGGCGTGGTGTCGGACACAGAATTGATACAGTGTCGGACACAGACATGGCGTGGTGTCTGGCACAGAATTGATACATTGTCTGGCACAGAGCTGATACAGTGTCTGGCACAGACATGGCGTGGTCTCTGGCACAGAGCTGATACAGTGTCTGGCACAGACATGGCGTGGTGTCTGGCACAGAATTGATACATTGTCTGGCACAGAGCTGATACAGTGTCTGGCACAGACATGGCGTGGTGTCTGGCACAGAATTGATACATTGTCTGTCACAGAACTGATACAGTGTCGGACACAGACATGGTGTGGTGTCTGTCACAGAATTGACACTGTGTCGGACACAGACATGGCGTGGTGTCTGGCACAGAATTGACACAGTGTCTGGCACAGACATGGCGTGGTGTCTGTCACAGAATTGACACAGTGTCGGACACAGACATGGCGTGGTGTCTGGCACAGAATTGACACAGTGTAGGACACAGACATGGCGTGGTGTCTGGCACAGAATTGACACAGTGTCGGACACAGACATGGCGTGGTGTCTGTCACAGAATTGACACAGTGTCGGACACAGACATGGTGCGGTGTCTGTCACAGAACTGACACAGTGTAGGACACAGACATGGCGTGGTGTCTGGCACAGAATTGACACAGTGTAGGACACAGACATGGCGTGGTGTCTGGCATAAAATTAACACAGTGTCGGACACAGACATGGCGTGGTGTCTGGCACAGAATTGACACAGTGTAGGATACAGACATAGCGTGGTGTCTGGCATAAAATTAACACAGTGTCGGACACAGACATGGCGTGGTGTCTGGCACAAAATTAACACAGTTTGCATTTTTTTTAATGATGCACCCATTCCTTTTGACGTATATATGTTTGAATAAAGACAAAGCTTCAGTCAACTTCAGTGTATGCATGACCAGATCGTTTATACATGTATCTAAATACCGTTTGTCAGAGCTCCGGTCAAGCAATTCCCAATCAGACATTTTATATCCATCTCTTAAGACCTACAGTTGGTACCCGCATAGCGTCGGGTCATAGTTGGCTGGGAACCCGGGGCAGTAATATGGACAGCCCCAGCCCGAATAGGGACTGTTCTGTGGTATTGCTTACAACTGTATCATTCCTGACCTATTCTTGTGTAAGAGCTCCAGATTACATACAGATTACATACAGATTACGTACAGATTACATTCATCCCTCCACTATTATCAGAGTGAGGGGGTAGATAATCTTTATATTCGAGGGATTAGGTCTGTCG